CCCCAATGCCTACCACGACCCTTTTCGCTCAGATTTCGGAACACTTCGCACGTCCCAGGACCTCTTGGTACCGTCCCAAGACTTTTCAGTAGTGTCCCAAGACTTTTCTGTACTGTCCCAAAACTTTTCTGTACTTCCCAAGACTTTTCTGTACTGTCCCAAGACTTTTCGGCACTGTCCGAAGACTTTTCTGTACTGTCCCAAGACTTCCTGGTACTGTCCCAAGACTTTTTCGCTCTGTCCCAAGACTTCCTGGTACTGTCCCAAGACTTTTTCGCTCTGTCCCAAGACTTCCTGGTATTGTCCCAAGACTTTTCCGCTCTATCCCAAGACTTCCTGGTACTGTCCCAAGACTTTTCCATTCTGTCCCAAGACTTCCTGGTACTGTCCCAAGACTTTTCCGCTCTTTCCCAAGACTTCCTGGTACTGTTGCACGACTCTTCCGTACCGTCCCAAGGCTTTCTGGTACTGTCCCAAGACTTTTCCGCTCTGTCCCAAGACTTCCTGGTATTGTCCCAAGATTTTTTCTCTCTGTCCCAAGACTTCCTAGTACTGTCCCAAAACTTTTCCACTCTGTCTCAAGACTTTTTGGTACTGTCCCAAGACTTTTCCTCTCTGTCCCAAGACTTCCTCACTTCAGTGTTGGGACACACGCACTTTCCCAAGACCGCTTCTTCCCTAGTGTTGGGACAAAATGATTTCTTCTTCTTCGTTGTTGGGACTCTTGAACCACTATCCTGGTACCACCACTTGAGCTCTAGTATAAAAACTTCCCCAATCTTATTAGAGCAGATTTTTTTTGATTTTAATCGTTCTGACCGGTCCCTTGATTTCTCCGCTTAAGTATTTGGATGTTTCACACTGCCCCAATGCCTACCACGACCCTTTTCGCTCAGATTTCGGAACACTTCGCACGTCCCAGGACCTCTTGGTACCGTCCCAAGACTTTTCAGTAGTGTCCCAAGACTTTTCTGTACTGTCCCAAGACTTTTCTGTACTGTCCCAAAACTTTTCTGTACTGCCCCAAGACTTTTCTGTACTGTCCCAAGACTTTTCGGCACTGTCCCAAGACTTTTCTGTACTGTCCCAAGACTTCCTGGTACTGTCCCAAGACTTTTTCGCTCTGTCCCAAGACTTCCTGGTACTGTCCCAAGACTTTTTCGCTCTGTCCCAAGACTTCCTGGTACTGTCCCAAGACTTTTCCGCTCTGTCCCAAGACTTCCTGGTACTGTCCCAAGACTTTTCCGCTCTGTCCCAAGACTTCCTGGTACTGTCCCAAGACTTTTCCGCTCTGTCCCAAGACTTCCTGGTACTGTTGCAAGACTTTTCCGTACCGTCCCAAGGCTTTCTGGTACTGTCCCAAGACTTTTCCGCTCTGTCCCAAGACTTCCTGGTGTTGTCCCAAGATTTTTTCTCTCTGTCCCAAGACTTCCTGGTACTGTCCCAAAACTTTTCCACTCTGTCTCAAGACTTTTTGGTACTGTCCCAAGACTTTTACGCTCTGTCCCAAGACCCCTTCTTCCCTAGTGTTGGGACAAACTGATTTCTTCTTCTTCGTTGTTGGGACTCTTGAACCACTATCCTGGTACCACCACTTGAGCTCTAGTATAAAAATTTCCCCAAAATCCAACCTTACTGGCCAAAAGTTTCAAATGCTAACCCCCCTGAATTATCTCCCTTTATTAATCTGACACCAGTTGAAATTCAACTTGTTCGCTGATGTGTTGTGATCACCTGTTCGTTAAAAAACTGATAAAATTGGTACCGAAAACGTAAAAACACAAACGATAAAAAATTATAAAAACGGAAAGATGAACCCACCTAAAATCGGAGATGACCAATGTCGCCTTTTCGTAGCGAAATTGTCTGGTACCTGATTGTCACGCGTTTTCCTCCCCCCTCTTAGCGATCTGCTAAGAGGGGGTATTGTACTTCCGGGTTTCAAAAACTGTCTATCTCCGTTCCCCCCACCCGATCCTACCAGGCTACCTACCTTAATTCGATCTTAAATTTGGATATCCACTCTCTATAATTCACGCGTGCAAGAATATAAAGTAACTAAATCGACGCTGTCGATTGATTAGTTACTATAACGTGTCCCCCCTTTTTACAATTTGCAACCGCCAACCTCTAACCTAACCAGCCCCCTTCTAACCTTCCCCCTTTTTAGCCCCCCTCTTAAGCCGAAAATTACCTTAAACACTGGGTGCTAAACCTCTCGAGAGAAAACCGTAGAACCTGTTTCCAAGCTCTGCTCAAGTAAAAACGTTCCTCAAAACGGTGGCGTTCCGCTTATCCAATTTTACACTTATCTCCTATAACGTAATATGGATTCTAACGATACACGATTGACCAACCAGAACACCTCTGTGTGTCTCCCTATGATTGTCCTGATTCCGTTCTGGTTGTCTCCTTGACTCGTCCAGCACCTCTCTCCAGCACCACTTTCCCACTTGGCTGGTCACCTGTTCCAGTCCAGTCTCCCAGTGCTTCGTAGATTGACCAAACCAAAACACCTCTGTGTGCCTTCTCTGTTCGGTCCCGTTGGTGCTGGATGTCCCCTTGTTGGGTCCAGCATTTGTCGGGTTCCCTTATTGTGAACCACTTTCCTGCTTGGTTGGTCATCTTTTCCAGTCAAGTCTCCAAGTGGTCCAGCTAAGTTGCAAGCTATCTGAAAACCCTCGACAACGCCCCACACTCGGGCACTTTTTTAACTTGCTGAAATGATCGAAACGATGGGTGTTATGAAAACAGTTTGGGTATAGTATTTAAATATTAAAAAGGTTTGATCCAACTAATCTGGTGTAAAAGTCACTGTCATTTTTTGTTTTATGGTTTTTTTCCTTTTTCTATTCTTTTTTGGTATTTGTTTGGCTTTTTGTCTTTTTGCTCATTTTTTAGTCCCCCTAGTTACCTCCCCTTACTCAATTAGCTAGGCCTTGTTCGGAGAGCGTACCTGGAAATTTTCTCGAGTTTTCTTAAAAAGCTATCACGTTACGACCGGAAAGTTTACACGTTCCCGCTGAACCGTGCCACCGGTACTCTAGAATGGGCATGTAGCCCGGAGCTGTGTCAAGTGGGTTCGACTCCGTAGTCATGATGTCTTAAAAACACCCAGGAGCGCCATAAAAACACTATGTAACCGTCGCCTACTTCGGTCACATATGAGGTTAAAGAAAAATAGGCCCTATAACCATTGGCTCAAGAGTCAGGGACACTATCTCTTGTGTTTTTCTACCTCGAACAGTCGGAGCCAATTCGGTTCACTTGCGACATGAGACTAAAACCCTTGTTACAGCTTAAAGGCCATTATTAAATTACCCTCCCCCCACTCTAGAAAATAAAACGTCCCCATACTTAGGTCTCAAAATACCCAAAATACGCAAAGGCCGTTAAAAACAGGGTCGGAACAGTCCGTACAGTTACTTTTTATTAGACAGTGGAACTTTGATCCATTTCAGATCAACATAACACTTATAAAACACACTCAAGAAAACTAAATTGGGTGCTCACATACCAGCACACTCGAGAATTGAGGTAACTAAATTAATCAGTAACTCTAGCATTAGGTAATTAAGTTTTAACTCAAGAAGTTTGTAATCAATGAATTCCAGCAAGGAAAATGAGTTTTGACTCGAGAAATAAGTTTTGGAACTGGAACATTGGGATACCCCAGCTGTCCACCTACTACTGAGGGTTCATTCTGGTTCACTTCTTATTTGTCTCTGCTCTGTTTACAATCGCTCTGCTTCCTATTCAGGATAGGGCAGCTCTACTCGCGTTTGATTTATATCTGGAAATTGCGAACAGCAATTTACCGCTGCTTTTTTCAACTACTTTCCCGCGATTGTCACTCGGTTGTTCTGATCTTGGATTTCTGAGATTTTCAGTTTTCGCGAGAAAGTTGAGCATGACAGGCTCAATTCGAGTTTTTGAAAAACTACATTTCACCCCAAAATTACGTTTTTCGTATTCCTCAAGGTCAAACTTCCAAATATGACCGACTGGCCCACAAAAGCAGGAAAATTATATTTGGGTGGTATCAAAAATCAACAGATACAGGTACCGTACTAAATTTTAGAAGCTGCGTCCACCTTCAGTACAAGAGAAGTGTGATTGAAGGAACTGTTCACCGGGTTTTCCGCAGTACGTCAACATGGGAAGAATATGATAAAGTTATGAAAATCAACTGTGAACAGTGTTTGGATAACCACTATCCGCAAAAATGGTCGTCGCGGGTTGCAACCCATGCCTTCGAAAAGATCATCAGGGAGGGCAAAAAAACAAAAAGAACATGGCTGAGAAAAAGAAGCCCTGTGATTATAGCAATGATTCACCACCCAACTTGATGGTCCAATAAAGGGGGAATCACAGTCAGACATTAGCAAAAAAAGTGTGCGATATCACCAATGCGCAGATAATATTCACGACGAGGAAAATGAAAACTTGTATGCCCTCTCTAAAATCCTCCTTTTCCAGTGAACTGAAAACAAAAGTGGTGTACAGACTTGAATGTTGGGGGTGCAAATCCCTCTATGTTGGCCAGATGGTTCGACATCTCACCACAAGGATTGAGGAACACCGGAAAGAGGATACCCCAGTTGGACAGCATATAAGGCAGTATGGTAGTGAGAGTGGTAAGTCTGAATTTAAATGGAAAATAATCGACCAGGCGTCCAGCAGAATCAAGTTACTTACATTAGAAGCGCTGCACATTAGGAAAGAGAGACCGGCAATTAACACGCGCGATGAGTATGGAAGTAGGGAGCTGACACTAAGGCTACATTTTTGAAATTTTTTTTTTTTGAAATAACTTACATGTTGCATAAAAATTAGCGACAAAACGAAATTGTAAAAATAAAAAAGGTGATAACTTTCAGAAATTTGTGACAAAATGTTTAAAATTGTTTCATAATAGATGTTACATAATTTCAGTAATATTTGTAAAGTGATATTTGTAAAGTAATATTTGTATATCAAAAGGAATCAAATTCTAACCTACTTATTAAATAGCTTCAGATAAATTGTTGATATATTGGGACAGCCGTGGTGGTCCCCTGCAATTACTTCAAATTACTTTGACTGGATTCATTTACCACTGCTAACGCTCGTGGACACTATTGGTTGGACACAGGTTGGTGGATCGCATGATTGTAGTTGGAGCAAGCTCATTCAGAAGGACCCTTGACTACCTACCCTACGATCTAAGGGTAAAGTATCGAAGACTAATTTTTGCAAAATTGGGAGGACTAAGCCTCAACTCAAACGACGTGAGTAAACTCAAGAAATTGCAGTGGTTACTTAGAAACGGTTCCCTAAAATCCAGAGAAATCATTCTCCGGCACGACGTGATAAACAATAGTATCACAAAGCATCCCAAAAATTTTAATACGAAGTGTTCCTCGGAGCAGTTAACTGAAATCATCACGAATTTTCAGCATCAAATAGCTGCAATTATATACATTCGTCGAAACGGTACCCTCACTTTTTTGAAAAGTTACGGAAGACAAAACCTCTCATCATCGACGCGATAAAACGATTTCTCCTAAACAAAAACAACAAAACGGCGTTGATACAGTTGTTGCCCTCTCTAATTTACATCCCCCTCCGTCTCTTGAGCTGAAGTTGCTCAACAAAGTACTTTCGAAACGTCACAACCTCCGTTCACTAGTACTTCAGCAAAGATCAAAATCCAGAGTACGGCCCACCAAATCAAAGAGAGCAGCAGCAAAGAAAAAACAAGCAGCCCAATCCTCATCGCACTAGTTCTGGTGAGTCTGATTTTCTTGAGACTAGTCTCTCCTGAGGTTTTTATACCTTGGAGTATCAGTCCAAGGGAATCAAAAAACTCAATAAGTCTTCTCTAGCCTGGTCTTCTCCTGAGGTTTTATACATTGGAGTGTCAGTTCTGAGACGATTTTTTGAGCAATATGGGCTCAGAAGAAAGACGCAGAAATGCTAGCGTCTCGCAAGCATCTGACAAATTTTGTAAAACATGCAAAAAGCCGATCAGAATTAAAAGTCAAATCTTTAATTGCATTGCCTGTGGCGATGTTATGCACATGATAAAAACATGCACTGGAATATCTGAAGCTGCCATCCTTGGAATTTCGGAGATCAGTCAGAACGTCCTCGTGCTCTGTAACTGTTGTGTTGGAAACAATAGGAAAGAGTCGATGATCAACGATTAAATGCAAACCCGTCCATCCATTGCCGAAACAAAACTCAATGAAATCGCCGAACAGTTCTCTACATTTAAACAAGAGATAGATTCACTAAAGCAAAAGATAGATGAAACAAACAAAAAACCACAAAACAGAAATGAACTAAAGCAACATGCCTTAAACAAACAGAATCAAGCTATAACGGAATCCGGATAAGAGAACTGCTTGAACTGGACTCAAAAAATTCAAGAGATAGACACGAACACGACTTGGAAAAGGTGAACAAACTGTTTGCGTTCTTAACAGTTGAAGCAAAAATCACAGATTTAAAACGTTTAGGAAAATATGAAGAAGGAAAAAGGCCACGCACAAAAATGTAAATGTATCAAATGAATGGCAAAAACGACTGATACTAATGCCCTTGGCAAAATTGAAAAACTACGACAAAACTCTTTTTGTGTCAAAAAAAAGCTCAGCCCAAATGAATTTCTGATTGAGAACAAACTTCTTATGAAAAGACAAAAAAAGATAGAAACTGGCGTATCAGCTAAAAACCTAGGGCTAAGGCACCTTGTCCTTTACCATTATGACGAAGAAAGTGGAAATTGGAAAAAAGTCGAAAGCAATTGCTACCTACTGTTGAGTACTTAAAAATTTTATGCCTAAATGTCAGAAGTACTTTAGACATCAACAGAAGAACAGCTCTATCAAATGCCATTTTACAAACAGACTACGATATACTATGCCTCGCAGAGACATGGCTGGTAAATGAAATACCAGATAAAGCTCTGCATTTGGCTGGTTTTAATATAATTCGCAAAGATAGAAAAAACTCCACTTTAAAAACCAATCACGGAGGTGTACTCATGGCGATAAAAGAAAATGTGCATTACGAAGAAGTTGATGCTCAAAAAGAAAATGAAGAAAGCATAGCGGCCGAACTAACAGGTGAAACTGGGCATCATCAAATTCTCTGCTGTGTTTATAATCCCCCGAAAAACAGTAAATACCAATGGAAACAACAAGACTTCTTTAGTTTGTTCGAAAACTTAACAAAATTACAAATACAACACAAGTGTAACGCAGTGTCGATTACGGGAGTTATAAATTTTGAATACACTCGTTGGAAAATGATGCACTCAAAGGACGAATATGAAAATACAGTGTTGAAATAGCTCATTGAACTTGACTATGATCAATTATTCGACTCCAAAAAAAGCAGCTTGATGTTTATTAACAAACAACCCTGGAGTGATACTCAACTGGCACACGTACCAAACAGCAACAAACACATACAGCATTGACAAAATTTCATGCTCAGATCATTATGCTTACTCTGCAACAATTGACATGGAAGCCAGTATCAAAGAAATAAACAAAGGTGAGATTCTGGCATTTAGCAGAGCCGATTGGACAGCAATAAATCAAGAGATTAAAGACAAACTTTTCATACCGTATTGTTACAGTAATGTAAATGAGCTCCTGTGTCAGTGTTATGCATGGTTATGAGACAAAATAAAGAACAATGTACCTAAGGTTACATCACACAGATCAACTCTCCCCCCGTGGGCAACACCAAGTACGTCTCACATGCTAAAAAGAGTACAAACTTTAAAACGGCGTATTGATCGGCAAAACAAACCTACTTTAAACAAACCTACTTTAAGCCTTATCCTAAAACACAAAAAACTGGAAAAAAATCTTCAAATAGCATTGACTGAAGATCAAGCAATTTACGAAGAAAGAGTAACAAGCAGTAGACGATTCAGTGACCTACAAAAATACTTGAACAAAATAAGTAGTTCAAGGCAATATCCCCAAAAAATGTTTTACAAGGAAAAATCCACTAGAGATGACACCCAAAAAGCTACATTTTTTAACGAATTCTTCATCAGTGTATATCAAAGGAATCAAATCTTAACCTTCTCGCACCAAATGCAAACTGTTCTCCTACAGAAGAAATCTGTACACAAATACACATTGAAGAAACCAAAATCGAATTCATGCTCAAAAATCTTTTAACAAATGAAGCATCAAGTTTTGATGGTATAGGTAATATAATTCTAAAAAATCTTTCTGAAACTCTGTCAAAATCGCTCTATCTTCTCTTCCGCACATTCATTAACAAGCGGCTCTTCCCGACCTACTGGAAAACAAGTCAAGTGCCCCCACTTTTTGAAGAAAAGAATAAGGCGTCAGTTGAGTGCTACCGCCCAATTAGCCTTTTATGCTCCGCCTCGAAGGTCTTCGAAAAAATTATCTTTGATAATATATACCCCAAATTTCAACTTTTCTTGGAAAACGCTTAATACAGCTTCCGGCAAAAAAGGTCAGCAGTACTACAAATGGTACAATTTTTGAGCAAAGTATATGAACTCTACGATGACAAAAATGTTCAAACACTATCAGTCCTTTATCTAGGTTTTTCTAAAGCCTTTGATACAGTTCCTCATAGTATTCTAATTGCTAAACTACAGAACATAGGCCTAGGCATTCAAATACAAGATATAATACAAGACTATCTAACAGATAGAATACAATTTGTGAAAATCAATAAAAACTCATCAACTTTGAAAGAAGTAACTAGCGTTGTACCACAGGGCTCAATTCTTGGCCCTCTACTTTCTATCATTTTAATCAACGATTTTCCCAAATGCATTGAGAATTCGGATTGTTTTCAACATCGACAAATGTTGAAAAATGGTGCAAAGATAATAAAATGCCGCTGAAAGAAAATAAATGTAATCTGTTAAACCTCAAAGGGAAAATGGAACTTAAACTATTTAATACAACTGTTGATACCGCAAAGACGCAAAAAGACTTAGGTATTTTAATGTGTGACAACCTTTCGTGGTCAGTAAATGCTGAAAATCGCATTTCAATAGCAATGGGAGTTTTTTACAAAATCAAACGGAATATCTCGAAAAAACATCATTAAAGTCAAAATTAAACTTATACTGTGGATGCATTGTACCAATCATAAGCTATGCATCGCAAACATGGCATCCGAACAAAGAGACACGTCAAACATGGCATCCGAACAAAGAGACACGCAAACATGGTAAAGAGACACGTCTTAACGTGTCTCTTTACCACGTTAAGACGTCTTGTTACTCTCATGTTTTCTATCGACAGTTTTTGTGAACACATTTGTCGATATTGAAGGACAAAAGACTTTGGCCTGACCAAGTTTCTAGTGATTGACGTCCCAGCAAGATGGCGAGAAAACTTCGGTCTGCCAGCAGCAGCGAAGCGACGCGAGATCCACACGCAGGACTGCTCACCCAGAAATCAGAAGACACAGCACCATGCGGTAATGCGGATTGCCCGCACAGCGGTATCGTGAGCTCGAGTGGCGTCCAATGCGACCAGTGTAACAACTGGTACCACATGAGCTGTGCCAAAACTACAAAGAAAGCACTTGCAGCAATGCCCAGAAACTCTCTATTTTACTGTCCCTACTGTGTCACCCCCTCGGTGAACGGATCAACTGGGTTATCTCAACTACTAAGTGATCTCCGGTTGGATCCGGTGGAAACTACTCACGAGGATCTTAAGGTGCTGCATGGGACAATCAGTTATATCTCACTCCATCAAGCCTATTTGAGGATTGTCACCTGGGTACCTAACCTGTTCACCCTTCCACAGGGAAAAGTAGGGAGTCAGTTCCTGGAGGAGTTCATCCGCATTCTGAAAAATTTGACTTCAGACCCAAAGAACGCTCACTCCGCCTCCTTAACTTTTCACTTGTTCCCCGCGCTTATGCTACAGAAACCATCTGCTCGCAGCAAAGTGAAAGAGCACAACAACTGTACTAAAGCCCGTTTAGAGCACTGGTCGAACGGCA